AGCAGGAAATGTCTGCCTCACTCGGGCTAAAAGGGAGCACAGCCCAGTATAGGTGGTGTCTCCTGCCAGCAGGAGGACTCAAGTCCCAGCACAGATTGGAAACCTAGGCCCAATGGCCCCAGAGCAGCAGTCCAGTGACACAGCAGGCCAGCTGTGAGGACGCACAGCAGGCTAGTGGCCAGGCCAAGAGGCCACAGTGCAGCAGACAAGTTGCCAACCTTGGAGATCCTGGTGCAGAAAGCAAGCATCCAGGTACAGAGACCTGAGGACAGCAGGCCAGGGGCCAGAAGCTTAGGGCATTGCCCCTGTACCCTAAGAGCAGAGCTCAACTTTGTAAGTTACTAAATAGGCTGGAAAATAAGCAAAAAACCCCCAAAAAACCAAAAAACAACCCTGACCAGAAAGCTACTATGGCAACAGGGAAGATCAAAGCAGAAGAGGATGACAATGTCAAAATGCCTACTCATGAACCCTCAAAGAGAAATATGAATTGGTCTCAGGCCCAAAAAGAACTTCTTGAATAGCTCAAAAATGATTTTTAAAATAAAATAAGAGAGGCAGGGAAAAAAAGGAAAAGAAATAAGATTTATATAAGAAAATCAGTCAACAGCTTGGCAAAAGAAGCACAAAAAATTGAAAAAGACATACAAAAATTCATGAATTAGTCAAATGGAGAAAGAGGTATAAAAGCTAGCTGAAGAAAATAATTCCTTAAACATCAGAATTGGGTAAGTGGAAGTTAATGACTCCATTAGATATCAAAAATCAATCAAAAAAATCAAAAGAATGAAAAGATAGAAGAAAATGTGAAATATCTCACTGGAAAAAAATACAACTGATCTAAAAAATAGATCAAGGAGAGATAATTTAAGAATTATAGGACCACCTAAAAGCCCTGATGAAAAAAAGGGCCTGGATAATCTCTTTTAAGAAATTATCAAGGAAAACTACCATGATATCCTAGAACCACAGGGCAAAATAGAAATTGAAAGAATCCACTGACCACCTCCTGAAAGAGATCCCCAAATGAAAACTTACAGGAATATTATAGCCAAATTCCAGAATTCTCAGGTCAAGGAGAAAATACTGGAAGAGCTTCTTGGGGCAGCTAGGTGGCACAGTGGATAGGGCACCAGCCCTGGAGTCAGGAGGACCTGAGTTCAAATTTGACCGCAGACACTTGCTACTTAACTAGCTGTGAGACCTTGGGCAAGTCACTTAACCCCACTGCCTTAAAAAAAGAAAAAGAAAAAAAAACAGGAAAAAAGAAAATACTGCATGCATCCGGAAAGAAACCATTCAAATATTGAAAAGCCACAGTCAGGATTACACAGAATTTAGCAGCTTCTACATTAAAGGATCAGGGGGAATTGGAATATGATATTCCAGAATGCAAAAGAGCTAGGATTACAACCCAAAATCACCTACCCAGCAAAACTGAGTGTAATCCTTCAGGGGAAAAATACACATTCAATGAAATAGAGGACTTTCAAACATTCCTAGCGAAAAGATCAGAGCCAAACAGAAAATTCAGTTTTCAAATACAAGACTCAAGAGAGGCATAGAAAAGGTAAACAGGAAAGAGGAAACATAAGTTATTCAATAAGATTAAGCTGTTTATATCCCTACATGGGAAGATGACACTTGTAATTCTTAAGAACTTTAGCACTATTATGGCAGTTAGAAGGAGTATACATAGACAGAGGGTGTGGGTATAAGTTGACTTTGATGTGATGATACAAAAAAAAATTAAGGGGTGAGAAAGATTATTGTGGGGAGAAAAGGGAAGGGAGAAGGGAAGGGAAGAATGGGGTAAATTATTTCACATGAAGAGGTGTGAAAGACCTATTAAAGTGGATAAAAAAAGAAGAACGGTGAGCATCACTTGAATTTTATTGTCATAGGAACTGGCTCAAAGAGGGATTATTAACATGCACACTCAGGTATAGAAATTTGTCTTGCCCTTTAGGGAAGTAGGAGGGGAAGGGGACAAGAAAAGGAGGAGGAGCTGATAGAAGAGAGAGCAGATTAAGAGCAGGCAAACACACAGTTAGTAATCATAACTGTATATGTGAATGGGATGAACTCACCCATAAAACAGAAGTGGACAGCAGAAGAGATTAAAAATCACCCTAATCCTTTAATGTGAAAGCTGCTAAATCCTATGTAATCCTGACTGTGGCTACTCTATGTTTGAACTGTTTCTTTCTGGCTGCTTGCAGTATTTTCTTCTTGATCTGGGAGCTCTAGAATTTGGCTGCAATATTTCTGTGAGTTTTCATTTGGGGATCTCTTTCAGAAGGTGGTCAGTGGATTATTTCAATTTCTATTTTACCCTCTGGTTCTAGGATATCAGGGCAGTTTTTCTTGATAATTTCTTGAAATATTATATCTATATTCTTTTTATTGCATCTTTCAGGCAGTCCAATCTCTCCTGGATCTATTTTCCAGGTCAGTTATTTTTCCAGTGAAATATTTCACATTTTCTTCTTTTTTTTTGTTCTTTTAATGTTGTTTTATTGCTTCTTGATGCCTTGTGGAGTCATTAACTCCCACTTAATCAAGTCTAATTTTTAAGGAGTTATTTTCTTCATTGAGCTTTTGTACCTCCTTTTCCATCTGGCCAATTCTCCTTTTTAAGGAGTTGTTTTCTTCAGTCAATTTTTATTCATTTTTTTCCATTGTGCTTCCTTTCCACCAAGCTATTGACTCTTTTTCTCATGACTCTCTTATATCACTCTCATTTCCTCTCCAATTTTTTTCTACCTCTCATTTGATTTTTAAAAGCTTTTTTGAGCTCTTCCAGGAGTTCTTTTTGGGTGTGACACTAATTCGAATTTTTCTTTGAGGCTTCACATGCAGCTGTTTTAGACATTGTTCTCCTCTTCTGAATTTGTGTTGATATGCCCTGTCACCGTGGTAACTTTTTATGGTCAGGTTCTTTTTATGTTGTTTGCTCATTTTTCTAGCCTATTTCTTGATTTTTATTTTTATGTTAAAGTTGGGCTCTGCTCCTGGGGTAGCAGGGGATCTGTCTCAACAACCACAACCTGGGGTAGAAGGTACACTCTCCCAAACTTCAGGCTTTTCATGTTGCTGTTTTCAGAGCTAATTCTAGGGACCTGTAAGTTTTCACTTGTTTCAAGTTGGTATGATTTAAGGAGAGGTGTGGTCACTGCTCTCTTGTCCTATGCTCTGATCTGTGAGCAACCACAAGCACTCTTTTCCAACCTGGATCTCTGACCAGGATGGCTGCACACTCTAATGCACTAGCACTCCTCCTCACCTCCAGACTGTGACTCAGATCTGTGATCCAGATCCCTACTGAGCAATGCAACACAGTCCTGTAGCCAGTGCCAGCAAAGTGTCCTTATAATGTGACTCTAACCAGTTGTCCAGCTCCCTTACCAATCTGTGGGCTGAGAACTCCAGAAGTCACTGCTGCTGATTCAATTGCTCCAAAGGCCTGCACTGGCTTGTTGGGGAGGGGCCTGCTACTGGCTTGAGCCAAGCACAGGGCCTCCCTGCATGGGGCCTTCTCTGCTACATCACACAGGGGCTCAGGGCCTGCTAGCTCAGGCTGGAGTGTGGGGCCTTGCTGCTTCCTTGCCTGGGCCACCTGAGCTGGAGTGTGCTCCATTCTCACCTAGGTGAGACCGACTTTTCCTATCAACTTTCTAGATTGTCTTGGACTGGAAAATTGTTTCACCTTATCCTTTTGTTGGTTCTGCTGGTAAGGAATTTGTTCTGAGGCATTATTTTAAAGTTGTTTGGAGCGGAATTTGGGAGAGCTTAGCAAGTTCCTGCCTTACCCCGCCATCTTGCCTTTGCTTTGACCATGTCTTCTTCTCTATTGGATCCTTTCTCATGTATCCTCAGGGATACATTATCAAAAAATGTCTCTTTGTTCTTCTCATTATGTCAAATTATTATCCCTCTTCATTGCTTCTCTATGACATTATTCTCTTGGTTCTCTTTCCTTCTCAGTCTCCTTCCTTGGTTTATCAGCCTTCTGTCCACAATCCTTTTCCGAACTTCCATTCCTACATCTCCTACCACTTGCTGGATATCTCCACTTGGATAAAATAGTAACAATTCATATTTATCTAATACGTTAAAGCCTGTTTTGAGGAAAGTACTTACAATATCCTGACAACTCAAACTCAATACCTAAAAAACTGAATTTGTCATCTTTTCCTCATAAACCTCTCCTCTACACCCAACTTCCTTATTTCTGTTGATGCTCCCTGTCACCCATGTTTGAAACTTCAAAATTATCTTTGACTCATCTTTCTTCTTTACTTCCCATATATTCAATCAGCTATCAAGTTCTGTCAATTTTACCCCTACAATATTTCATCCTTCTTTTCCTTCAAGTTAGTGGGTGTGACATGGATGACAATTCAACAAAAGAGACTAATAAAAACCAAGGTAGAAGAACCAGGAGAGAGCACAGTCATGAAAGACCCAGGGACAAAAAAGCAGTTACCAGGGTGAAATGCTACTGAGAAGTTGAGAAGAGTGAAGAAGCTTCCTAATAGCTATTGCTCTTTGCCTTCAAATTTTCTAATAGAACTTTGTATCTCTTATCACATCCTATCTTTTATCATATTCACTTGTGTTTATACCTTAAGTACCTTGAAAGTAAGGCCTATGTCATTTTTCATATTTATATCCCCCAAGACAGGTTGAACTTAAAAATGCTCTAAGGGAAATAACAAAGTTTGAGACAAAATTAGGTTACATACAGGAAGAATACAAAATTATGTTTGGAATTTTTCCATTAATTTAATTCAATTCATTAATGTTTTACAGTAAAATGAATATTTAAATGTATTTCATGTCTAAATTGGATTACTTGAATAAAAAAAATAGAAATGGTAAAATAACAGAGATAAAACTAAATGTGGTTCAGAAAATAACTTGTTTAACTATCAAAAATACTTTATATAATTAGATGTTATACAATGTATCTTTCAAGATGAAAATTTTATTCTTACCCTGAAAAATCAGCAGAATATTGTCCATAATCGAAGATATAGACTCTGGTAATTTGGCACACTGTAAGGTATCCCAAAGCAAACACAAAACAGTATCTAGAAAGCAAAGGAATATGATAAATTGCATTACAAAAATAATTCGAAATTTTCTGCACTAAACCCTAAGATCACTGTTCTTTAAAATCCAACTAACATTACCATAGTCTTCTCTTAATCCTCATCCTTCTCAACTTCTCGTTAGCATTTTACACTGATAGCTACCCTTTTGTCTCTGTGTTTTCATGACTCTACTCTTTCCTGGCTCTCTTACCTTGGTCTTTCTTGATCTCTATTTTTGAACTGTCATCCATGTCAAACCCACTCACTGGAGGTATCTTCCAATGGTCTCTATCTTAGACTCTCTTGTCTTTCTATACTTTGTCATTTGGTTATCTCAACTTCCATTGGTTTAGTTATCGTCTCTATGCAGATGATTCTCCAATCTATATATCCAGCCATAAGTGGTACAGTGAATAGAGTGCTAAGATTGGAATCAGGAAGACCTAAGTTTGAATCCCACCTCAAAAGAGTACTAACCATGTGACCCTGGGCAAGTCACTTAACTTCTGTCTGCCTCAGTTTCATCAGTTTTGAAATGGGGATAATAGAAGTTCCTACCTCACAGGGTTGTTGGACAGTAATCAAATGAGATTACTGAAAAGCACTTAGCATAGTGCCTAGCACATAGTAAGTACCATCTATTTGCTATTATTATTGTTATTATTATGTATATACATATGTATGTGGGTATGTATAGCCCTAGTCTTTCTCCAGTGCTCTAGCCCCTCATCACCAACTGCTCACTGGATATGTCAAGTGACTGGATGTCCCAGAGACATCTCAAACTTATCATGTCCAAAACAGAAGTCATACACACTTTCCCCCATTCAGCTTCCTTCCATGGGTTTTCTTTCCCTACTAGAATGTAAGCTTCTTACAGGTCCCACCACTTAGCACAGTACCTAGTACACTGTAAGCATTTCAAAAATATCTGTTGACACAAATAATTTTTTATTATTACCTAATACCAGGATGAATTTCCTTATACTGCCATTAAATCTTGTCCCCATGCACTGAGAGTATTGACAGTTAAGTTCTTTACTGAGGAGTTTATAGAATCAGACATCTAGATCTAGAAACAATCTCAAAGACCATCAGCCCAACTCCTTCATTTTACAGCTGAAGTATAGAGAAGACGACTTCTCTGAGTTTACACAGGAGTTAATTCAATCTGTGAATTATCCAATCCATTTCTCCTTTAGACTATCTGTCTTTTGGCTCAATATCATGTCCATTACACATGGGTAGGGACAATAAAGGGTAATGAAACATTAACAATTTATTCTGACAAATTTAAGAATTCTGGATGGATTGGGGATAGAAATTCTTGATGTAAGTGAGGTTTTAAAATTACCTGTGGCTTTCAATAACTTAAAGATACATTTATCTTCACCACCAATGAAGAGGAAATTAAAGCAATAATTAGGAGCTATTTTGCCCAATTGTGTGCCAATAAATCTGACAATCTAAGTGAAATGGATGAATATTTACAAAAACATAAGTTGTTCAGATTAATGGAAGAGGAAATAAAATACTTAATCCCATTTTAGAAAAAAAAAATTGAACAAGCTATCAATGAACTCCCTGGGAAAAAATCTCTAGGGCCAGATGGATTTACGAGTGAATTCTACCAAACGTTTAAAAAACAATTAATTCCAATGCTATATAAAGTATTTGGAAAAACATGCAAAGAAGGATTCCTACCAAATTCTTTTTATGAGACAAATATGGTGCTGATACCTAAACCAGGAAGAGCCAAAACTGAGAAAGAAAACTATAGACCAATTTTCCTAATGAATACTGATGTAAACATTTTAAATAAAATATTAACCAAGATATTTATCACGAAGATAATACACTATGCTCAAATAGGATATATCCCAGGAACGTAGGACTGGTTCGATATTAGGAAAACTAACAGCATAATTGACCATATCAATAACAAAACTAACACAAATCATATGATTATCTCAAGAGATGCAGAAGAAGCTTTTGACAAAATACAGCACTCATTCCTGTTAAAAACATTAGAGATTATAGCAATAAATGAGTTTTCCTTAAAATGATAAGCAATATATATCTAAAATCTTTAGCAAGCATTGTATGTAATGGGGACAACCAGAAGCATTCCCAATAAGATCAGCGGTGAAACAAGGATGCCCATTATCACCACTATTATTCAATGTATATTAGAAATGTTAGCTTCAGTAATAAGAGAAAAAAAAGAAATTAAAGGAATTAGAATAGGCAAGGAGGAAACAAAACTATTACTCTTTGCATGTGGTGCAAAGAGAATCAACAAAAGAAACTACTTGAAAAAATTAACAACTTTAGCAAAGTTGCACGATATAAAATAAACCCATACAAATCATCAGCATTTCTATTTATTACCAACAAGGCCCAGCAGCAAGTGATAGAAAGAGAAATTCCATTTAAAATAACTGTAGACAATATAAACTATTTGGGAGTCTACCTGCCAAGACAAACCCAGAAACTATATGACCACACTTTTCACACAAATAAAGTCAGATCTAAAGAATAGGAAAAATATCAATTGCTCATGGATAGGCCAAGCTAATATAATAAAAATGACAATTCTACCTAAATTAATTTATTTGGTGCCATACCAATCAAATTACCAAAAATTATTTTAAAAAACCAGAAAAGATAATAACAAAATTCATCTGAAAGAAAAGATCAGGAATATCAAGGAAATTAATGGAAAAAAAATGCAAAGGAAGGTGGCCTAGTCATAGCAGATCTAAAATTATATTATAAAGTGGCAATCATCAAAACTGTTTGATACTGGCTAAGAAATAGAGTGGTGGATCAGTGAAATAGGTTAGGTTAGTACACAAGACAAAGTAGTCAATGACCACAGTAATCTGCTGTTTGATAAACCCAAAGACTCTGGCTTCTGGGATAAGAACTCACTATTTGACAAAGAAACTGCTGTAAAAACTAGAAAACAGTATGGCAGAAACTAGGCATAGACCAACATACCTTACACCAAGAAAAGGCCAAAATGGGTGTATTATTTAGATATAACGGATTTTACCATAAACAAATTAGGAGAGCAAGGAATAGTTTACCTGTCAGATCTATAGAGAAGGGAAGAATTTTTGACCAAACAAGAGCTAGAGAATATTATGAAATGCAAAATGGATAATTTTGATTACATTAAATTAAAAAGATTTTGCACAGACAAAACAAATGCAACCAAGATTAGAAGGAAAGCAGAAAGCTAGGAAACAATTTTTATAGCCAATGTTTCTGATAAAGGCCTCAGAGAACTGAGTCAAATTTATAAGAATACAAGTCATTCCCCAATTGATAAATTCTCAAAGGATATGAACAGGCAGTTCTCATATGAAGAAATTAAAGCTACCTATAGGCATATGAAAAAATGTTCTAAATCACTACTGATTAGAGAAATGCAAAGTAAAACAATTCTGAGGTACTACCTCACATCTATCAGATTGCTAATATGACAAAAAAAGGAAAATAATAAATACTGGAGAAGATACTGGAAAATTGGAACACTAATGCATTGTTGGTAGAGTTGTGAACTAATCCAGCCATTCTGGAGATCAATTTGGAACTGTGGCCAAAGGGCAATCAAACTGTGAATACCCTTTGATCCAGTAACAACACTACTAGGTCTGTATAACAAAGGGGAAAGGACCCACACATACAAAAAAGATTTTTTTCATGGTGGCCAAGAATTGGAAATTGAGGGGCTGCCTATCAACTGAAGAATGGCTGAACAAGTTAGGGTATATGAGTGTAATGGAATACTATTGTTCTATAAGAAATGATGAGCAGGAAGATTTCAGAAATACTTGGAAAAACTTATATGAACTGATGCTGAGTGAAGTGAGCAGAACCAGAACATTGTACATACCAACAGCAACATTATGCAATGATTAACTATGATAGACTTAGTTCTTCCCAGCAACAGAATGATCCAAGACAGTTCCAAAAGACTCGTGATACAAAATGCTAACAACAACCACAGAAAGAACTATAGAGTCTGAATGCAGATCGAAGCATACTATTTTCACTTTTTTTTTGTTTGTTTTTCCTTGCGGTTTTCCCCTTTTGTTCTGATTCTTCTTTCACAACATGACTAATGGGGAAATATGTTTAACATGAGTATATATGTATAACCTATATCAGATTGTTTGCCATCTTGGGTAGGGGAAAGGAAAAGGAAAGAGGGAAAATAATTTGGGGCTCAAAATTTTACCAAAATGAATGTTGAAAACTATCTTTACGTGTAATTGGAAAAAATACTATTAAGGAAAAAAGAAAGTAAAAAAAAGATTTATCAGTATCATGGATAATCTAGGCACTTGAAAACAGATGGCACTAAATTCTGAGTCTAAATGAAAGATATATAATTATGAGTCTTTAGGCAAGAAAAAACATAATAAGTTCAATAAATATAATTACTGAATAACATCAGAATAACTGACACTCACATAACAAAAAATGTTTAAACAACATTTGCAAAGCATTTTAAATATAAAATTCTCATTTGAGCAACAGAAGACCCCTGCAAGGCAAGCACTACAATTGTTATTCCCATTTTAGAGATAAGGAAACAGCAATTATCACATGTGAGATCCCAACCAAGGTCTCTCCTGACTCCAGTCAAGAAGTACTTTTCCACTAAGATTAAGCAAAATATGGAGATGACAGTTATACGAGAAGTAATGATGAAGCTGCAATTTCTGATTCAATTTTTTTAGAAATCATGCCAAAAAAGAAAAAAAACTTTTTTCATAACTTAAAATTTCTATCATTATATATGTGATTGTATGTGGGTTTATAACCCCAGAAGCTACTTGCAATCAGAAAATAAGGGCAGTCACTTCATTTTTTAAGATTATAGTTTCCTTATCTATAAAAATAAGATTAATAATAGATAACTTCTAACTCTTTCTACTTCTCTTAGGTGCCACTACTATGGTTCAGATAAGCTCACATTGAAA